GGACTCAGACAGCAGCCTTGTGGGGTTCCAGTGCTCAGGGTAAGTGTTGATGTTTTATTGCCTATCCGCACCACCTGTAGGTGTCGTAAATCTTAGGCTTCGTTTTTGTCACCTTGCGGAATATTGGTAATGATACTGAGTTTTGTTTTCTAACCAAATTTCAAATTGATTTTGTTTTTTTGTTAAACTAATTGTATTTTGGAAACGTTTTAAACAAGATAAAAAATATTGCAAATTGCACATGTTTTTGGCGGTGTCGAGTATTTTGTGCTAGTAAAGTGAATGTGGAGCATTAACAGTTAACGGAAAATTACTGCTCAGCTCCAACTCCAACCCCACTGCCATTTTCTGCAGCCAATATAAATACATTATACGGGGTGTGATCTGCTGACTCACCGTTACTGTACAGTTTTTAAACCATAAATATTTACCGCCTCGGATCAACTTTATAACTCAGTCAGCGTGCGGAATAGACATGGCATCGGATGGTAAGAAACTGTGAACTACCGTATTTTACAGAGAAGATAATTTAACTCGAGTCGGCATGGCGTAAATAGTCAAATAACTGGGAAAGACGCAGATCTAGTCTTGTACGACAAAAGACAAGGAGACCTGAATTATTTTTAAATACACAGAACGAATATGGAAATTAGAATGGTGAAAAACGTGATTTAGGAATGAGGTGTTTTCAAACTACAGTTTTGATATGTATACGTATAAACGAAGACCGCATCACTTGAAATGTTTCACGTACTTTTATTACAGTATTGTAATACCGATATCATTAGCTATTTGTGTACAGTCAAATATAGATTAACGTACATTAACTTTATAGCTGATTATATTGCAATTATGCGAGTACGAAATGTATGTCTGTCTGTCCGGGTATTTAAAACAATCTACCGATTGAATTCGCTCCGTTTGTTGCCAGTTCTACAATGTGTCGTATATTTTCGATTATAAGTGTGGGAGCTCCAATGCAGTTTCTTCCTGTTTGAAATTTCACAGGAAGAATATACAAAGGATTGTGGTACTCGAGACAAGGAAGCGCGAGTATAAGCGTGTTATTTCCGGGGTGGTACTGAGTAGTTTTTGTCCTTATAAAAATGTCGTTTTATAGCGTGCCCAAAGAGGCAATCGTCAGCGCAGCGGCCGTGGGCGCCGTGTTTGCCGTGGGATTGTATATCGGTGAGTGAAGTCGGGTGCAATGTGCGGTGTGATCTGTTCCCATTGCTGTAAGAAGGCAGTGAGACCTACAGTAAGTTGTACTCGCAGTGTCTGGACTGCGGATCACGTGAAAGCCTAGTCGTGTGACACTGTCTGATCCTACAATGAGGGGAGCTCTGTCCTCCAGACGTGCTGCCGTTAGCCTTACAATTCATTGTGCGAAATAACGACGAAGAAACATTTAATCGTGAGCGGGTAGGAGCGGGGGAACAAAGTCATCCTGTAGAGGATTTTAAAAATCGAAAATTAAAATGCATTTTTTTTGTTGTTGTTAATAGAGGCCACAGACCTGCAGAGGTTATGCATATTTTAATGTTATCAGTCCACCTCTCATTTAGATTATGTATGTCCTTGGCAAACAAATGAAAGGCAATGTCTTTGGTGGGAGGTGGGTTGTCACCGCCTGGCGATTACGGGTCGATACTTGTCGAGCTCCGTTTCTGCCCCCCTCGTGTCCGCTAGTTCTCATTCCAGCTGAGTTTTGTTTGGCTCAACAAGCTCTGAAACCGACCTGTTTATTTGTATTTTTACTTCCTTCTCAGTTTTTAAAAAGCTGTCAGTGAGCATGAAACCTTGGCCAGATGCAACGTTAAGTGATTGACAGTCAGCATTGTTTAGAAAGTTGTTTGAGACCAAGTATGTGTAGTGAAAAGTGTGAACCTTATTTCATCCATCCATTCTGTAACTGCTTTGTTCGATACAGGATTGTGGGAGAGCCCCTGCCAGTCGCCGCAAGCAGCGGGCGCAAGGCAAGACCCCAGTCCATCGCAGGGCACACACACAGACACTCACAACTGGGCCAGCACCCAGACAAAACCCACATAAACCCAAGGCCTCAGTCTTCCAGGGCAGCAGTGCTGACTGCTGTGCCAGCATGTTGCCCGTGTACCACACTGTACTTTTCATCCCTTATATTATCCAAGCCCATTATTTTGGCATGCCAAGGGTAGTCACAGTTTCAGTAGTTCTAGCATGGAGAAAAACACCTTTCAACCTTTCAAATGTTTACTGCGTTGCCATTATTTCTTTGGGACCGTTCTGTGATGGAAGTATTTGAACATTGCATGCAAGAGACGAATATCATCCCACATGTTGCAAGGAACAGTATATGTCAAATAACAGGGTGGAAACAGAAAACGAGGTTTGATTAATATGTGTCTACAATCCCTAAAGGTTTGAAAACATACAGTAAAATAGGAGCACAGAAGGAAAATGGAGCAAAATCTAATCCAAGCTTTAATATATGCTATCACTCTTGCTTCTTTTCCAAGGAAAACACGCATCCTCTCCCTTTTCCGGCACAGACATCTTTAAGAGTCATGTTGGAGCAAAAAACAATCCTTTGATGAAATACGTACTGGACCACTCTATGAGAGAGCACCCTGCACTGAAGAAACTTAGACTGGTAAGTCCAGCCACAGAGCACAATTCTGTAGACTCATAGCGATTAGTAGCAAAATGATTCATGCTTAAACCTTGTTTCCTCTTGTACAGTATAAAGATTTGTAACTAACTGAGGATAAAGCCAAAGAACTTCCTGGAAGGTTTTGGAAAGATCAAGTCCTGAGTGAACCATGTTTGGTCAAAGACAACATACTTTTTTCCTCAGCAATATTGCTTTAAACCAGAAAACAAAAACTCATGAATGTGCTTTACTAAAAACATCAGAGGGGAGGTGCAGTCACAAATTAAACAGGAATAATAGCAGAAGGTAAAAAACACATTTAAATTAATAATCATCATGCCTTTTGCCAAGATTTAAAAAGATCTGTTTTTGTACCTTCAGGTTCATTATTTTAGCTCTTTTTCTTTTATTCAGGTATATAGAATAAAAATATGACCTCTTTTTATTAAAAAAAAATAATTCTGTAGCATCATACAGCTTTTTTTCTGGGAGTGACATAGGAGTACTTTGCTCCATTGGTAGAACCCATCTCACGTGACCCGTAAAATGTCATTTAAGTTGCATGGACAGCTCCCTTTAACTATAGTATGTGTCCTATTAGGTACACTGTACATGAAAAGAAACGTATCACCTGTAAGACCATGCCATTAGATAATACCCATCCACCTTTAACACAATGCACACCTTTTTACCTAACAAACCACTAATTACTCCCATCACCAATAATCTAATAATTAAATCATTGACACCTGGTGTGGTTATTTACAATAATCGAAGTTGTCTCGTTGGCAGCCTCTACTGCCACTTAGCACCACAGTGGCTGCTATTGTAGTTCCGTCTTAGGCTGACCTGCCACACTGCATCCATTTCACAAAGTCATTATCAAGAAAATGGCAGGTGCATTAAAGTTCTATCCAGCAGACATGACCTAGATTATTCAGGATAAAATAATGTTTTACACCAGGTTGCAGATGTTGTCTCATGGGATTCTGTCCCATGACTCTTGTGCAGCCTAGAGAATCTAATCTCTGGTCTCTGAGCCATAAATTCAACACGGCTCATTCCAGCTCATCCGTCACCCACAGGGTTAGTCAAAATGCTGTCAACAACTTCAACAGTTTATTACAAATTCATCACGTGGCTTACTGTGACAAAAAAGGTTTCGAACGAAAGCTTAAATATCAAAGTTTCTAACAGTTACCTTACAACCCTCCTCCATCTGTGGAGGAGAAAACAAAACTTTGGTAAAATAATTGGCCTTTGTACTTGCAGACAACATTTTGACCAGCCCTGTACATGCGTGCAGGTAGTGCTCAGGTTCTTTTGATGTTCAGTAGGTTCCAAGTGCTGTCGTAAATGGTAATTAGAATGATTATAAAATATAATGTATTTCAGTGTATAAATTATTTCTTTACACAGATGAATTTCCAGATGTGCTCCTAACATGACTTTGCTACCTGAAGATGATGCAACAGTAGCATACGTTTTCAAGGTCATCTAGGAAATACTGATAGGATTCCTTTGCTCTTCTGTGTCCAGGTCAGGTCAGGTTCTGCACATCTCAAGGGATAATTAGAGATCTGAGATTTCCAGCAAGTGGAAAAACAAGCAAAAGGGACATAAAAAATTATAGGAAAATGGCTACAAATATATTTATGGACATCACAAAACACAGTTTAAAAGACTTTTAAAAGGCTTTTTTTTATCAATCCTTACTCAAAGGACTGGCCTTTTCTTACCTGTTTATGTGTGGTGCTTATATTTTGGTATGTCATTTTGAAATTGTGATTGATTTTTTTCATATTCTTGCAGAAAACACTTGAAGACCGTTTAAATTTTATTATGGTCGCTTGTGAGGAATCACAGTTGATTGCCAACCTTACAAGGCTCATTCAAGCCAAGAAAGCTATTGAAATAGGTAGGTATTATACAATACTATACAGTGATGTGAAAAAGTAAGCGCACTTCTATGGTTTTATATATTAAGACATATCTGACCCTCACCAAGTCCTAATAGTAGATAAATCTAACTTCATTTGAAAAATAACACACAAATTTTACTTTACTAATTATTTATTTAAAAAAAAAACAGCCAATATTCTGTAGCCTTGTGTGGAAAAAGTAAGTGCACCATTACTGCTTCCATATAAGTTAAGAAGGTAATTAGAATCAGATACTGATAAACAAGTGCACATGATCAGGAAATGTTTCCATCTGAATAGACTATAATCTATAATCTTTGTCACTTCGATTTGGAGCATCCAGGTTTATGGTGACACATCATGCCTAGGTCAAAAGATATCTGTGATGGTGTCAGAAAAAGAATCGTTTCTGCTCATCAGTCTGGGAAGGATTATAAAGCCATTTCCAAAAAAACCCATAATTTCACAGTGAGACAGATAATATACAAATGGAAAAAGCTCAAAACAGTTGCCTGTCTGCCCAGGAGTGGGCATTCCAGCAAATTCACCCCAAGATCAGATCACAAAGAACCCGAAAGCTCCATCCAGGGATCTACAAGCCTCTGTCAATACAGTAAATGCTAGAGTTCTTTATCCTACCATTAGGAAATGACTGAACAAGAATGTCTTTCTGAGAAACAGAACCAGGAGAAAACACTTTCTCTTCAAAAAGACCATTGCTGCACGGCTTAGGTTTGCAAAACAGCACCTGAATGAAACACAAAACGACTAAGAACAACGGCCTCTGGACAAATGTTCCCCAAGTGGAGTTGTTTGGCCATAATGCAAAATGACATGTGGTGATACGCAGGTATTTGGTTTCCGGCAAATAAGAACCTTATACGAACCATCAAGCATGATGGTGGCAGGGTGATGATTTGGGCCTTATCTGGAGCTGCGGGACCTGGACACCTCATCATTGAGTCCACCGTGAATTCCTCTCTATACCAGTGCCTTCTAGAAGAAAGTGCGAGACCATCTCTCCAACTGCTAAAGCTGAACCGGAGTTGGATCATGCAACAGGTGAATGATCTAAAACACGCCAGTAAATCTATAACAGAATGGGTTAAAAAGAAAAGAATCAGGGTTTTGGAATGGTCAAATCAAACCCTATTGAGATGCTGTGGCTGGCCCTAAAGAGAGCTGTGCATAAATGGCTGTGCACAAACAAATGCCGTCAAATATCACCAAGCTGAAGCAGTTCTGTAAGGAGGGCTGGGACAGAATTCCTTCCAGGTGAGGTGACAGACTGAATCATAGGGTGCACTTACTTTTCCCCACAATTCTGCTGAATGTTAATTTGTTTTAATGTTTAATAAGTAATAACATAGTAAAATTTGCGTGTGTTATCTGTCACATGAGGTTAGATTTTTTTTTACTGTTAGAACTTGGTGAGGACTAGACAAAAGTCAGATATTCCTTAATATATAAAACCATAGAAGAGGGTGTACTTTCCTTTTCACATCACTGTAGATGGTAGCGCTGTAGCACAGAATACATCTTCACTCAAGCTAACACTGTATTATACAAACATTTAATCAAAGTCACCAAGATCTTCAGATTAATGATCAATCTAAAAATTAATCATTGATCAAAGAGCAGTAACCAATCGGACAACCTGCTTATTAACCATTAACCAACAGAGTCAACCTACAGTATAGTGCACATGGTAGAGATTATTTACACAGGAGAAACTACACTTAAACCAGTCTTGACCCTCTTGTCTGTGTCTGTTGTCTGTTTGTGGAGGTCCATAGTCACTGCATCCATTGGTCCGGAGTTCTGTGTATAATAGTGGTCACCACTTTGCAAAAGTCCTGCTGTCAGTCCAGAGAAGAGCAACGGGGTACATCCCTAGGAACTGGAATGAACCTACTGTACACTTAACACTAACGTTACCTACACTGTGCTTAAGAAACCAAATCTTTTTAGTCTTGAGGGTTATGGGAGTATGGAACAAGCTACCCAGCCAAGTGTTTGAAGCTAATACCTTGGCTACTTCTATGAAACAGCTAAATGAGATGATAAATAAATTATTCAGTTTCTAGTAACTGAATGAGCTAAATGGACCAAATGGCCTCATCTATGATCCTGTTTAGTTATAACCATCTCAAAGCCTTATCCCGTGAGTTTGTTCTAGCTCTTAATCTGAGGTCAGCTGATTCAGACCTCCTAACACAGGCCAGGCTCCAGTCGAGGATCGGCAGACTCTTTCGTGCTCAGTACCATGCTTACAAGACTCATGGCTCGAATCCATTAGAGACTTTGCAGCTGCTGACGTCTTCAAAACTTTCACAAAGAGTTTTTACTAAAGCCTTTTATCATGTCATTCAGTCTTACTCTAGGTTTCATTTAGACAGTTTTCGGGGCATGTATTTAATTGTGGCTGTGTTGCTTTCTGCTTTGTTGTACAAAGTAATACAATTTTATTTTGGGTAATTGCAATGACTCAGAATTCAAACCCCCGCCTCTGTGACTGTTGCTCTTCCAGGGGTGTACACCGGGTACAATGCTTTAAACTTTGCCCTGGCACTGCCAGAGGACGGCCGGGTTGTGGCCTGTGACATCTGCGAAGACTACGCCAACATAGGAAGGCCGTTCTGGAAAGAAGTAAGTCTTGCACGGTTTCTTATTGTTTCTCGGCAGGTGCTCTGTTGTGTTGTTTAATCTTTGCCCGTGGATTTGTGCTGGCAGGGACTGCCCTACCACTGCAGTACAGGGGGGAAGGGGGCTATCAGATTGGCTAAACAGTGGCAGTATTTGCTCAAGGAAAACTAGCGTGTCAGCAGCAGACCAGTGCATTGCCCTGACCTTGCAGGGACAAATGAAAATCAGTTCTAAAGTGTTCACTATAGGGAAGAACTTCCATTAGCCCGTGTCCAAAACGCAGAGCAGCTTGAAACACAAACCTATGTGTATTCTTTTTCCGATAAAATGTAGTCCACTGTTAAAAATGGATCAAATCAAATTTCCAGTATAAAATCTCTTATGTGAAATAAGTGTCAAAACTTAAAGTTAAATAATGAATACTGCCTGAGAATTTCAGCACTAGAGCAGTATCCGTTCAAATTATTTGAAGTTATCTTACAAGCCATTTAATTGTAGATGGGGATTATTAGGAGGCCGTGACTGCTAAAGGCCAGAGGGAAATTTGGCCAGGACAAAACCTTTCTATACCTGGCCACAGAAAACATTAACAAGTGTGCCATCACAGCATTGCTGCCTTGTGATTGCTAAATTGAAGGCACCCAGGCTATCTGTGAGTGAAATAAATCCAGTTTTCCTTGTGGAGGCTCTGTCTGAAGGAACAGCAGTTTTGGAAGGTGATTGGAGATTTGCTGTCGCACTGCGTTGGAGAGCACTGCATCACGACTTGTGAAAAGGCAGATCCATGTGTAAAAAGCATTTACCCTTACTGTTATGATAGATTTACTGCATCCTCTGAATCTGAAAGCTTCCTCCCAGCAAGGCTGACAACTGGATTTTGAGAAGCCCATTTATGGTCACCATTTGTTTTTAAGTTTTTTAGTTAAAGTGGTTGAAGCTTGCAAAATGAGTTTTGTTGCCCACACCTTTTCTCTGATCTTCGCCTTTACTGCTGAGTTTTGGACACCATTGTTTTTCTACTTCTGGAGTTTCCCTGTCAGCACAACCCGCCAGCGTGCGGGTTTCAGGGTGGAACTGCTCGTTGAGTTTTGACTTTTCTGTTTTTGGGGGGACGGCACTGCAAAACCATATTTTCATCTTGCAGGTGGATGAACATGGAGTACTAGAGATTTCAGTGTGATTGCAGAGAATTAATGCCTCAAGGATGAACTTCACCTTCTTGCAATGATTCATGCTTGCTGGGTGCACTTGTTTTAGGTGTTAACCCACCTTAGTTATAGTTAGAGTTTTCATAATATCGCTAATGACAGCTTAAGTACTTTGATATCCTTTGGCATAAGATGTAATATACACACACAAGGTATTATATTATTAATGTTGCTTTTTTGTTTGTGTTTATGCCATTACCCTGGGGAAATAAATCCCATGATGAATTGCCTGAAGAAAAGAGTTAAAGGTATTAAGTGCATGCTGTATGATCTGGAACCCTATTTTTCCCACAAGGATACAGACGTGGTTTCCCATTCCATTTGACTTGTAGTGTGGGCTCTGTGACCTCAGCTGTCTGCATATTGATTCTTACTAGGAGCACAGAGTGTGCCAGACAGTAAGGTGACCACTGGTGTGTCTCTGCCTGCTTCTGCTCAATGCCTCATTCTCTCACACCTCTGAGACCGAAAATCTGCCACTAACTCTGCCCTCACTGCACATTATTGCCAAGGCAGTTGGGAAAATTCTCCTTTTATGAAACGTCTTGTTTTCAGAACAGTGTAAATCAGTCTGTTTTACAGCTTTAAAATAGTCTTTAAATAGAGATTCTGAAGTGTAGCATGTTTCAGTCCTAAACAAACATGTTTTTTGTTATATTAGGCTCATCTGACTTTTGTGTTTCTCTTTCTGTTATTCCTCTAGGCTGGAGTTGAGCATAAAATTGATCTGAGGATACAGCCAGCCTTGAGAACTCTTGGTAATTCAACATTATGTTTACAACTTATAACGATCTTTTGAACTTACAGTAGATGTTGATGCCTCTTACAGTCAAGTTTCAAAGTTCAGTGAAATATTCTGATTGTTTTAAATTTGAAATGTGATCAGATTTGGTTGAGGAGCTGTGCTTACTGGCTTGCAGATTTATAGTGACGCCTTCTTAAAAATATGTACACTGTAAGAAGTCTTCATCTCTGAATTTACTACGGATGAAAGAGTGTCTAAAGGCATTACCAGCTTGATTCTTCCTCAGCTTTGCTTTTCTTTCTTCTGAATAGATGAGCTACTAGCTGCTGGCGAAGCTGAGTCCTATGACATTGCCTTCATCGACGCTGACAAGAAGAATTATGATGAGTATTACGAAAAGTGCCTGCTGCTTATTAGGAAAGGAGGAATCATAGCCATTGATAACGTGAGTACAGTGTTGTGCTTCAAATCTCTGTATCGCCACAAAGTTAATAAAACAGTCAAAGAACCTTCTGATTCTCTTGGAGCAAACATCTTCCTTTTGCTTGTTCCTAAGTGACGTATTTGCTTTTCCATCTGTTACGTCTGTTCAACTATTGTTTTCAAAATACACTAGCAGTAAAAGTACTTTACTTTTCTTTACTGTATAATCCATCTCTTGTGTTCACAAAATCATCTGGATCTCGGTTACCACAGCACAGATGAGCTGCATAAAATCAACACTGCAGACTGCATTGCCACTGAAATATTTATTTTCTCACAATGTAGGATGCGTGATCCATTTCAGTACTCTTGATCCTGATAACTGAACTGTAAGAAACAGAATTGGACATGAACCCTGTTGTTTAAGCACAACAGAAGTAGAAAGTGTGTAGACCAGGGGGGTCCAATCCTGCTCCTGGAGAGCTCCAGTCACGGTCTGAATATTCCAGACATTCTGACGCTAATGCAACAAGATCAGTCTTCTGCTCAGTACTCAGTATTAGCTCCCAGAGTCTTGTGCTGTCTGTATTGATGGCTGCAGGCATGTCATGTGCTGTGCTGCATCTTTTTCTGCAGGCAGCAGGTGCCCTCAGGCATGTTGGAGATGTTACAGGATTTGAATAGCTTTGTGCAATTAACTCTGCTCAATGAAGGTTGCAGATTTAGGTCCCATATGACCTCTAAATGACTTTGTAGTTAAACAATTTGCGTAATAGGTCACATTGAAATTAATTGTAATTCTAACAGAACAGTTTTTCGAAGTTGGTGATTTAGAGGCGACTTATAAAACATGCTGGACTGGACTACAAGAGGGTTGGAGACCTCTGGGGATCCTCATCGGTCTCTATTACCGGAACATAGCCGTGGTGCTTTTGGTGGCCGTCGTCATGTCTTCTCCACAATCTCCAATCTTCCTTCTCTTGTCTTGCAGGTGCTGTGGAGTGGGAAGGTTGTGAATCCAGCAGAAGGCGATGTGGACACCCTGTGCATCGACCGACTGAACAAGAAGATTCACAAGGACGTCCGGGTGAACGTCAGCATGCTGACAGTGGGAGATGGACTGACGCTGGCATTCAAGCTGTAACTCACAGTGCAAGATAGCACACCCTCAGAGAGCACATGCAGTAAGGAACAAAGTGGTACTTCATTCCAGAGCTGCTGGGTCGCAGATCGTTATTAGGTTTTCTTCTTCTTCTTTACTACACAAAATACTGTATTTGCTGTCCCAGACAGAGTGTGGGTAGATGTTTATAATAAACAGGATTAGAATGGAGAATGTTTTGGCATGTTTATTTCTATTATGGATGCATTTTGAGTACTGGGTTTCATAGAGTTTGATTAAATATTATGAAAAAAATTGCATCACAATAATGTATGCAACTGTATAAGAAGAAAGGAGTGGACCTTCAACTTGTGGTCTGTGGCTGAAGTTTCAATAAGGGTGCGTTACAGTGGTACAGTGTACTTCTGATATTCACTGTACATATATGTTGAAAGAGTAATGGCACTTGGAAAAACCCCTTCTTGATTCAGCATGAGCTAAACCTGTTTCTTTGGTGCATACGCATGCTGACATAGACACCTACTTGAACTTTTTCTACCATAATGAACTTTTTCTTCATAGCGTTTCTTTGTGGTCAATTACTTAGGAACTATTTCACCCAATGTATGAGTCCAAGATTCATGCCCAAATCAGGAAGGCACTGCAATAAAATATGCATCTTTTTGGGGTAAACAGGGTGGTTTTAAAACCTTTTAGCCTGCCAGAGGAATTTGAAGTGAGATCAGGCACTTTTTAATGTAACAGTCAGATCAGATACACTATGGTGCGGAGTTGAGGCCATGTAAGCCAATACCGTATGTGGCAACTGAAGATCTTTTGTAAGGGCCAAAACCTTATCAGATTAGATTAAAAGAGATGCCACTTGATATTTTCTCACACATTTCAACTATTTCTTCCTAACAGAAGAAGCCTGAAAACAAAATAAAGCCTGGAACGTTAAACTTGACACATTTCATCCGTCCATATTCTCTGATGGGTACATAATTTAACTTTTCCTAGAGTGCCAAGTATAATGGAAACCATCCATTGTTCACGTGTGGTCCTATAGCACCCGGTGTCGTATAATGTACAGTAGCTTGTTTGCCCACAGCTGACACAACACTCAACCTTATTATTCTGGTAGTGGCCGCATGATGGCTGCCTGATCGTGACGTGAAGCATCAATCCAGTGCACCAGCAGCAGTGAGTTGTTCACGATCGGCGAGACACAACACCTGCAGGTGTTCCCCAGATGTTCCTGCACAGGCCCTGCTGTCTCCTGTATTTGGTGCTGCAGTTGCCACCATTGCAATATCCCTTCTCACTGATTCATCTGTTAAAGGAGAAGGTGACTGAATGTCTAGTGTGACACACACTACATACTCCAAAAAAAATAATTTTATTTAACAAACCTTCATCAGGACAAGCATGTCTGTATGGAGACATTTTTGCCAACATGTTGACAACTGTTAAATAAACCTATTTGGGTGTATAGAGTGTGCATCGACAGCTGACTGTTGTTTTTTTTTTACTGAACAGCACCTCTGTGATTTCTGGGTGTCTGTCCTTCTTTGCTTTATTCTTACTGTATGTATGTGTAGTTAATAATCAGGTGAAACAGCTGTGTGGGTAGATACCCTTTTCACTACCTACCTGATACCAACAATAGGAGCCCATGGGGCTTGAGAGGAAAGGATGATCAATGAGCTGCCCTTGATCTTTTAACAGAGTGCCTTCGCTTTGTTTCTAAGACTATGCAAGTTCAGACAGAAAGAAATTTGCTTTATTAAATGAAGTTTATCAGTAGCTATTGCTGAAAATAGCCCATAACCTTTCAGTATGCCTGAGCAGTCTACAGCAGTATGCTCTGACGGTGCAGAAGAACTATAAGCAGTAAATCCAGTGTAAAGTATAATTGCAAAATGTTTTTCCAGATTTCTAATCATCATGTTTCTTCAAACTGGCTTTATTTTTAATGTCTTGTAAACACTTGCCATCTTTAGTATAGTCATCCCTTACAACGTTGTCAATAAATACCTGATGCTGTAAGATACGTGTTAGTTGTATGGAGATGGTATTATGTGCCGCAGTCAGAATATCACATGGTATAATCGATTATACTAACGCAACAAGATCACTGTTCTCAGTATTCAGTGTTGGTGTGCAGAACCTTGTATTGTCTACAGTATTTTGATGGCTGCAAGCATCACATTAAAAAAATCAGCTTCTTTTTCTGGAGGCAACAGATCCCTTCAGGTATGTTGGGTACATTATGTGATTTGAATGGCTTCTTAAAATAAACTCCTGTGGGTAAATAAATATTCAAAAGAGATTCTGACCTTCCTTTTAAGTCCATGATCTGGATGTTCACAATCTAAAAATTCAAAATATTCACAATTTGTAATCTCTTATTTGTTTGTGGTATAAAGATACGGTTTCAGACCAAATCATCTGATGGTAAAAGCAGGCCTGAAGATGTTAACTGTGTTTATCGTTTACAAAATTACACTGAAACTAGATTTTAATCCTAACACTGTGCAGGCAAAACCTCAAAAATGCATATTTACTTTTATCTGAGAATATGAATGTGATGTAATTATACAAGACTGCTAAAACCCACAATGTTGACCAAACATATTATAGTCAATGTACAGTATTTTAACTTTGAAGTTATTAACTCTTCACCCTTTCATCCCTGAGAGAACAATTAACCTTTCATACCACACAGATTGTTTCACAGATATATCTTTTGTGTTATGGATGTTTTTGATAAATTGTACATTTAGAATCCATGTGTGGGACAGTAAATGATGTGTGATTCCTCAAGTACTCTTGCAATTTACCTTTACAATTTCTGTTTGTTAGAGTAAATTAAAACCCTCACATCACTACACTATCAATCTCTAATATTTGACTAATCCTATTAGGTTTACAGTTGGAGGACCTTTTTCAAGTAATCCTTCTGAATAAGGTACAGATGGCTCAGGACTAACAGAATTCAGGAGTGCAGATGGAGCCTTCTGAGGTGCCGCGTGTGGAAGGTATTGATTATCTGAAGCACGTGGAGATATCAGACTGGTACCCATGTCCTCAGGACCATGGCCCCACCAGTAGACCAAGTATGGCAGACTGTTTTGCACCCCACAAGAGTCCAGGAACCAGTGGGGCCTGAGTTCCCCAGAGTCCTCGACCGGCAGTGCTGGTTGAGCTGGGATATACGGGTTGGTGGTTACCAGTTAAGGTTGAGGAGGGAAATATGGGACGTCAACAAAACCAGTCTCCACAATGACCAGGGAGGGGCAACTAGATAGGTGACAGTGTTCACATGTTCCAGTACTTTGTACAGCCCAATGAAGCAGGGGGCAAACTTCCGCAATGGCAGACGGAGTCTGAGATGTTTCATGAAGAGCCACATGTGCTGTCCTGGCCTCACAGGTGGAGCAACTCTCTGGCAACAGTTGGGTGTCCTCTCCTGGTGCTGTGCAGCTTTGCAGAGATTGACCTGTAGTATCCGCCAGATCCACTCTAGGTCTTTTCAGCCCTGTCGGCAGCAGGAGTGTCCGAAGGGTTCGTTGACAATCTGAGGAGAGGGGATGGAAAACTGTTCTGGCATTCAGAGAGAGACACACCTGTCGAACTGTCTAGGACACCTCTGCCCAGGGGAACACTGGAGCCCAGTCATCCTGGAGCACCGCAGGTATGCTTCCAAGTCTTGATTTAGGTAGAGATCAGTGATTTGTAAATCTAGGGTACAAAGCAGGGGCACAGGATGACACACGAGTTTTGACAGGCATGTCTCCAGGCCCTATCTCCTTGGAGTGAAATCCAGGCTCACAACATTCGCCTGGAGCCACGGAAACCCAAGAACCAGGAAGCAGCATGAGGATGGAATGCACAGGAAGTTGATGTTGTCCCTGTGCAGCGCGCCCACCCTCAGGGTCACGATTATGGGCCCAGGACACTCCTGTCCAAGGCCTGTACCATCAGTGTCAGACTACATGGAACCTGGGGAATGCTCAGGACCTGGGCGGTTTTCAGATCAACAAAGTTCCCTGCCGCACTGGAGTCAATGAAGTGCTGGCTAGAAGTTCCCCTGGCAGGAAGTTTAAGCCATTGCAAGGGGTGAGGAGATGTCATTGCCTAATCAGTAAGCATTCCTTGAAATCCCAAGAATAAGAAATACTTCTAAATCTTGGAAACCATGTATATCAATAAAGCTAAATATTCCTATAAGAAAATGTTGGCTTTCAATGTTCACAATGAACCCTGTAAGACAGTGCTGTCTGTGCTCGATTCTATATACTATAAGCCTGAAAACAGCAGGTCTTAGGAAGCATGAAATCTTGACAAGTTTAATACGTTTAAGGGGTTATTGATGAATATTAATCATATTGATTGTTTTGTGTTCTTCTTACATATATTAAAATGGTACATTCTCCACCTAAAGTGAAATTTCAACATAAATAAGAATGAAATAAGCTTTGTCAGATGTTTCCTTTAAAATTAATCAGCGGTGGCATAAATTAATTATGCAACTCTACAGGAACATTAAGTTTGAATAGTTTTACATTTTGTAAAGACGTGCTTCATTATCATCATCATCATCTTCTTCTGGTTAGTTGTATTATTATTTTACCAGTTTCAAAACACACCCTTTGCATTGCCTGGCAGATTGCATTGCCCTAGAGCAAAGGACTAGCCTCAACTGAACAGACGGGAGTAGTTCAGAGCTGTATAATGGAGCCAGATTATTTCATCCCTTTAAAAATCAGTAGCAGGGTCTTCTATTGAATATGTGACTTTATAGGCAACCAATGTAGAGATGTAAGTGTAGGAGTGATATGCTGTCAAGGTAGTTTTCTGTACATTATCCTTCAAAACGGAAAACAGTTGTTTTTCTCTCCTTCCATTAATCCTTTCTTACAGTTTGGACAAAGAAAACAATCTGAAAATGAAGCTGCAGACACCTGACTGCCACTTCACCTGGGACTTGTGAAAGGAGGATGCCAGTGTCAACTTTCTGGAAGTCAGGTTGAAAGAAACTCTGTGAGAAACACTGTCTGTGTCAGTGGGGAAACCCGAAGAAACCATAAGAGCTTTGAATTACTTTGTTTATGTCAAGCAGTTGCAGGGTTTAATGCAGAGGCAATACAATATCTAGAAAAACCTGAAGAGGAAATCAGGAAGAAAGGTGCTGCATTTGAACAGCTTGTCATTGTCACATACAGTATGGGAACATGGCTTGGGTGTGCTATCACATGGGTCAGCTGTCCAAAGCTCAGGCCCACCTGGAGAACATCAGCAAGGTCTTGTGTGCAGATTCGCCTTCTTGTCCTCATCTTGGCGTTCTAGGGGAAAAGACGTGGTCTCTTCAGAAGTTCTCCCCAAACCACTATCAGAGAGCAAAAGAGTGTTTCAGTGCAGATCTAGAAAGAGAACCAGAAGATAAGGAGCTGAATATGGGTTACGCCTTTGCCATATTCAGCCTGAAAAGCTCAAATTGCAAAAGCATTCCTTTTGTTCAGTCACCTGTTGTGAAGCAATTACAGAAGGCCTACAAGCTAAATGCAGAAGATGCTATGATCCTGGGTTACCTGGGAAAGAAATGTGAGGAGACCACTCTAGAGCCTCAGAGTATTATGACAAAGCCCATCAGCTAGCGCCACAAGACCTCAAAGTAGCTGTACAAGTGGGAAAGTTTCTAAGAAAGAATGGGCGTTATGAAAGAGCCATAGAAATATTGAAAGAGGCTCTGAAAGTGTCACCAAATTCTGCATTTCTGCACCACCAGGTAGCCCTCTGCTACAAATGCCAACTATTTCAAATGGAACGAGAAGGAAAAGCAAATTCTAAAGAACTCATTCAGCCTGGCATCTACCATTATGAAAGAGTGGCCGGTCTGAATCCATGCTTTATGCACCCCCGCATCGACCGAGCAGACCTGTACGCAGAACAAAACGAACTAAAAAGGAGAAGATTTATTTCAGGAATCAGTCCATTCCTGGCATCCAGCCTGCTGACAAGCTGAAACCACATTGCCATTGCAGGGATTTCCTCCTTCGTAAGAAGCACTCAGAGGATGAAGCTATTGAGCAGTACACGGAGGGGCTGAAGATGCAAAACTTGTCTCAGGAGTGGCAAAAGTGTTGGGAGTCTCTCTAACGAATTGCTAACAAAGGAGTCGGGAGAAATTAGAACAATGAGAAATACCTACAAGCCATGGAAGCAGTGCAAGTCAATAAAGCTAAATAACCCTATGAGATGCTAGCTTTCGATGCTCACAATGAACCCTGTAGAAGAGCACATTCTGTGCTTCGTTCTGTAACAGACTGAAAACAGCAGGTCTCGGGAAGCATGAGGATCTTGACGAGTTTAATCAATATTTGAGTGTCCAGCTCTGGTGTTGAATTTTAATGTATATGGGCCTATTCATTAATTAGATTTTGATTGTTTCCTGTTCTGTGACATACTGTACATTAAAATGCATGTAATTTGAAATGTATAGAAAAAAGTTTTTTTAAAAAACTTCTTAGCAACAGGACAATGTGCAGGAAAATTTTGTAGTTTAGTTGCAGAGGTAAACAGTGATGGAAAGGTAAGAATTTAGTGAGACATAAAAATATGGAGGCTGGCACATCAATTCGTGAGACAGAGGAACAAGTTTTTTTGTATGTTTTTCAAGTATTTTTTCCAAGGAAACTTCTCTTATGCTGTGCTCAAACTACTGTCCTATTGTTATATTGTATATATGTGTCCTATTGTATAGTTAAGTGAGAACTAAAAATATGGTGGCTGGCACATTAATTTGTTTGTGCCAGCCACCATATAGATGGCGGGACGGTCTTCTTCTTACACATTCCTGTTTTGTTTGTATGATATCGTTAAGGAAACTTCTCTTGTTCTGTGCTCAAACTATGATCCTGTCGTGTACAGGTTTTAACTTTAATTAAATAATCTTTGGGAAGACATGCTGCTTAGCAACCAGTACTGTATATCAAACATAAATCAAAATCCCGATCAACAATATACACAGATTCTAATATGCTTGCAACGCTTCTGCTTTTCTGTAATATGGAGGGTAGTACATCTTTTAAGGACTACTTTGGCAATGTAGTACATGAACATGCTGGAGTCACGTGTTTAGTGGTATAAATGTCACAGTGGTGTAAATGGTGCAACTGATGTTATGCTGTGTAGTGTGTTCTGATGTTTTCTGCTGTTTTCCCATTTGTTGAGTAACCCTCATTGCTGCAAATAATTAAGCCAATTAATTTAAAAAACACCCTGTATATAAAAACACATACCACAGTTATATTGCAACCAAGCATCATTTATTTAACTTTAGAAGGCAGTTCTGTAGTGATCAATTACAGTATTTATAGGAGAACATTGAATAACAGCAACATACATTCAAAACAACTGAGCTTAACTGCCTGGTTTGCACAGTACTACAATTCTCACATATCATACCAGCAACTTCTTTCAGTTTTTAGAGCTGGAATTTGTTTTTCTAATCATGCTTTTTATTTACTGTTTCTTGCTTAGCTAGAGCTTTCCACGTGCATCTTCTCGTATTTATTTCTTTTTGGTTAACATTTTGCCTCGTCTACAACTCCTTTCTGTTCAGCCTTGGGTTCAGCTAGTGGTTGCTTACTTGTCTCAGGCTGACATTCCTTTTCTGGCACTTTTGTATCTTCCTCTTTAGTCTTAGTCACAGACTCAGTGACATCTCCCCTTCCATCAAGCCTATTCTCTTGAATGGTGGGTCTGACTTCTTCTCTTAACTCTGTTTCGGGTTCTTTCTTTGCTTTCAAGTCAGAGGGCAGAATCTGTTGCTCTTTGATTTCTACTGCTACCTGTGAGTCTTCTGAAGGCACTTCTGTGTCCTTG